TCAAATCCAAATCTGTAAGTTTTCAAACTAGCTATATGCAGTCTGCATATTGGTGCACAAGAAGTGCTCAAAGACAAATAAATTTTTTGCGTCAAAACTTACAAAGCTACAATGCTGAGATTTTGCACCAATATTCACATGGACTATCTGGACATGTCAGAAAAAACAGAACTCAAATATCTGCCATAGAACAGAAAATAATTTTTTACATTTTTAATGCATATTGGCCATAAAGCCAAATATGGCCTATAGACAACTTTTACAAATACAAACGTTTGGCTCAAGTTTTGATCTTTTCCTACTAATTAGACCCCAAGGACTTCAAAAAACACAAGAAATCAAATCCAAATCTGTAAGTTTTCAAACTAGCTATATGCAGTCTGCATATTGGTGCACAAGAAGTGCTCAAAGACAAATAAATTTTTTGCGTCAAAACTTACAAAGCTACAATGCTGAAATTTTGCACCAATATTCACATGGACTATCTGGACATGTCACAAAAAACAGAACTCAAATATCTGTCATAGAACAGAAAATAATTTTTTACATTTTTAATGCATATTGGCCATAGAGGCAAATATGCCCTTAATCAACTTTTACAAATACAAACTTTTGGCTCAAGTTTTGATCTTTTCCTACTAATTAGACCCCAAGGACTTCAAAAAACACAAGAAATCAAATCCAAATCTGTAAGTTTTCAAACTAGCTATATGCAGTCTGCATATTGGTGCAAAGAAGTCCTCAAAGACAAATACATTTTTTGCGTCAAAACTTACAAAGCTACAATGCTGAAATTTTGCACCAATATTCACATGGACTATCTGGACATGTCAGAAAAAACAGAACTCAAATATCTGCCATAGAACAGAAAATAATTTTTACATTTTTAATGCATATTGGCCATAGAGGCAAATATGGCCTCTAGACAACTTTTACAAATACAAACTTTTGGCTCAATTTTTGATCTTTTCCTACTAATTAGACCCCAAGGACTTCAAAAAACACAAGAAATCAAATCCAAATCTGTAAGTTTTCAAACTAGCTATATGCAGTCTGCATATTGGTGCACAAGAAGTGCTCAAAGACAAATACATTTTTTGCGTCAAAACTTACAAAGCTACAATGCTGAAATTTTGCACCAATATTCACATGGATTATCTGGACATGTCACAAAAAACAGAACTCAAATATCTGCCATAGAACAGAAAATAATTTTTTACATTTTTAATGCATATTGGCCATAGAGACAAATATGGCCTATAGACAACTTTTTTAAATACAAACTGTTTGCTCAAGTTTTGATCTTTTCCTACTAATTAGACCCCAAGGACTTCAAAAAAACACAAGAAATCAAATCAAAATCTGTAAGTTTTCAAACTAGCTATATGCAGTCTGCATATTGGTGCACAAGAAGTGCTCAAAGACAAATAAATTTTTACGTCAAAACTTACAAAGCTACAATGCTGAAATTTTGCACCAATATTCACATGGACTATCTGGACATGTCAGAAAAAACAGAACTCAAATATCTGCCATAGAACAGAAAATAATTATTTACATTTTTAATGGATATTGGCCATAGAGGCAAATGTGGCCTACAGACAACTTTTTTAAATACAAACTTTTGGCTCAAGTTTTGATCTTTACCCCAAGGGAGTCAAAAAAATCTGTAAGTTTCAAAGTAGCAATCCCTGGTCTGCACAATTGTATTCAAAAAGTGTTCAAACACAAATAAATTTTTCCCTTGACAAGTTACAGAGCTACAATGCTGACACTTTCTGGGAATATCCACATAGACTACCTCTACATGTGGGAAAAAACAGAACTCAAATATCTGCCATACATCAAGAAATACTTTTGGTCATTTTTCATGCATATAGGCCATAGGGACCAAATATGGCCAATGACCAACTTTGCCATATATGGCCAATGACCAACTTTGCCAAATATGGCAAATGACCAACTTTGCCAAACATGCAAGAAACTCAAAAAAACTAATTAAAATCTGTAATTTTCAAAAGTAGCAATCCCTGGCCTGCACAATGGTAGTCAATAAGTGCTCAAACAGAAATAAATTTTCCCTTGAAAAGTTACAAAGCTACAATGCTGAAATTTTGCACCAATATTCACATGGACTATCTGGACATGTCAGAAAAAACAGAACTCAAATATCTGCTATATAATAGACAATAATATTTGACAGTTTTCATACATCCAACTTTTCCAAATGCAATGATTTGGCTCATGATTTGATCTGACCAAAAAACTAATATTACAAAATTCCCCCTTTTAAAACCATACATGTATATACCAAATACACAAAATCTGTCCAGCAAAAGTAATCAAAACAATCATAGAGACCCGAATTTGTTTGTCAAGAACGTTCAATATAAAATATTCAGAACTACAGTCTAAAAACTAAATGCTAAATTGTTCTAGCTAGTTCTGTACAAAATGTTTGTGTTTAGTGTCAGATGAAGTTAGTATGATATATGATAATAGCTTTCATCTTCTGTTCCATCTTAACCTGCAAACAAGAAACAAAATGCTACATTAGTATTAAACAAACTGGCTGACCTTTGGTTATCCTTCAATTGGTTCTATCTTACAATACATCTATAACTATTCTTCTTAACCATTATCTATAACTATTCTTAACCATTATCTATCTATAACTATTATAACTATTCTTCTTAAACAATATATAGCTATAACTATTCTCTTGACTATTATCTATAATCATTCTTCTTTACCATTATCTATAACTACTATTCCTTTACCATAGTCCATAACTATTCTTCCTTTACCATTATCTAGAACTATTCTTCTTAATCATTATCTTTGACTATTCTTCCTTTACCATTATATATTCTTCTCAACCATTATACCAAATTATAAAACAATGTTACATAACCAAATTGATACACCAACATAGTAGCAACTTTGAATGATGAATATGATTGATGGTTATATGTCAGTATAAACTGCGTGTGTACATGAACAAGTGGTTGACAAAAATGTATCCACCCACACAGGAGAAAATTATATAGAAGCTTTGGTTGGCAAAGACATGTGGGTGTATAAACTTGGAATTGAATACATTCGCACAGAAGCTTACGCCCAAACATTTTCGGTTTTTACTTTTGTTTATAACTAATCAATTTGCAGCCTGTATAACAATAATTACGGGGAATAGACCCTAATTCGGATTCTTAGAAAGGTAGCCTGATGTGGTATACTTACAAACTAAAATAGTAACACTTAGACACCAAAGCATTTAAAACAAATGGAAGCATTTGAAAAGTATAGATATGATATGTTAGTTGGCTTACCTATAATAAAACTGTTTTTGGTGACAATCAATATCACATCCATAACACCGCCATAATGAAATAAAATGAAAATTAATTTAATTTCCACAGTGAGTTAAGACAGTCATTTTCAATTTAGATTTACTTAAACAGGAAACTGGACTCTATACAGAATGTATCATGCGGGACTCAGGTTTAGTGCCAATACCATTAACAAAGGGAACATGGCTGACATTCAAAAACAATGATCATAAAACTTACTTTTGTAAAACCGTTTTTATGATTTAATACACAGGCTTCTTTCAAAACCAAAGGTTCAGCCATTAACAACCATATCACTGTCAAACAAAATGAAATAAAATGAATTTAGGTTTTACATCATGATATTGAAGCCTTGAAATCCGCATCTAGACAGCTGGTTTAGCCCAAAACAAGTCTTGCAAACTTTAGTGAATGAATGAATGAATTGAATATGATTTTCACTAGACAAGTCTAGTGTTTTATACATTAAATTAACTTATGGTAAATTGGAGGTTCAAATGTATTTTATTTGTCTGAAATCAAATTTGATTATTGTCCACGTAACTTCAATTCATGTGAATATAATTCTTAACATGCAATTTGGACATTATATTGGTGGGACATGAGGCGTTTGCACTCGGGCGAGAAATCATCAACGTGAATAGTCCTCAGTACAAATACTCGACTCGAATTGACAATAGCTCATTTCATGTGGCTGGCAAATAGAAAAAAAACAACGATGGAAATTAATAATTGAATAAATATGAATCATTGAATGAATACGAATGAATGAATGAATAATCCTGACGGAGTGCAAATAAATAAACGGGATGAAATAAACACGAAGAAGGATAGAACGTTTTGGACTACGCTTTTGTGAACTTGGAAATATTACTGAATATGTCATAATAGTGAATGAATTGATAAGGGACGAGAAAATACTTTA